CCCAATTTTTTAAAAAAAAAAAAAAAAAAAAAAAAGCATTAGGCCTCTAGCTGCTTTAAGACATTTTTTTTTTACTGCATATGTTAGTGCACTTTCCTTAGGCAACAAAAATCTTAAAACTCAGACTTTGCAGCAGATATGCTGTCTGCAGTCTGATTACAACAGTGCTCAGAAATGCCAAAGGTATTTACAAAACCTGGCACATGATTACAGATTCTTCTCTTTCTCCAAAGAAAGCCCAATTAAAACATGGAGAACTGCTCCCAAGCATCAGGAATAAGCTACCAGCGTGGGTCAGATTCTCTGCTGGCATAAGAGAGATGAATTCAGTTCAACTTGATGGAACTAGTTTGTTTCATGCCAGCTGAGAGTCTGCACCACTGCAGCTGGACAGACTACAGAGAAGGTTGACTTTTGGTAAACGGAGCAACTATAACCACATGCCAACCCTCTGAACACGTATCCAAAGTAGCTCCACAACAGGGCTCAGATTCAAGCCCTCCTTAGCTATTTTAGCATAGTGACAACAGTAACACGAATCCACAACTCCAACTGACTCATCTTCACACAACAGTGATAGTAGATTCCAGGAAAAGCATTACATCAGTGCATCAAGATGCTTCTCACTTATTCATGGGGAATTAGAAAATGTAATGGTTTAAACTACAAATCACTGAAGCCAGGTTACTCTCATCACCCAGGCAGCTGACTGTGGCCAAGCAAAACACCTTTTGCAGACAGCCTTGGGCAAGACTTCATGCAGTTTGCTCACAAAAATGAGCTTTCCAAGTGTTGGTCCATTAGACAAACTTTCCCAAATGACACTCCTTTCAATACAGTTTTTTACCAAGACATTTTTGCTGCATTTGTTTTAGCACCGTTAGACTGTTTAGAGACTTTCAGCTCTACTAGTGCCTTTTCAACATGCTAATTGAAGAGCTACAGCCAAAGAGTGCGTGAGAATCTATGAGAAATCAAAACAGCTCCCATATCTGTACTGCATTTGACCTCGGGACCCAATCAGAATGCTATTTTTATAAATCCTTACGTTACGGCTCTACAGTGAAGTCATATGGAAAAAAGACAGCTTTGTAGAAATAGGTTTGATTAAGTGCAGAGCTTTGTAACAGCTAATGTCATATTACAACCTTGCTAGGAACCCCACAGCTGCTTCTAACCTTCAGATTTTTAGTTAGCACGTGCAAAACTGTATGTACACATCCATCAAATCTGTTGCACTTCTATCTTCTTTGGGAGGGAATGGGAAATACCGCCAATTGCACACAACCTACTGTTTTGGAAGTAGGGTTCTCAAACTTGTCCACAGTGTGGGCTTCGTCTAAATAAGTATCTTGCGGACCTCTGTCCTTCCTTTCTACTACTCTAAACACCTCTCTCTCGCTTTTAGTCACATAGCATCACATGGCCACTACAGGAACTACTGGCACAGACTGGTATAATTAGGAAGACATCAGAGTTCTTTAACTTGCCACAGAAAATAAGGATGATAGCCAGCAGAGTATAATCCAGCAGCCTTTCTGCAGATCCCCAGCAGGAGGCTCAGCAACAACATGGAACCTCTGCCTCAGGAAAGCTGTTTGAAATGCAGAATATCTGATCACTCTTAACCAAATATTCTCATGTCCAGAGAGAGGAAGAGAGCTTGTAAAGAGGCATGGGATTCCCTACATAGCATAGGAACAACCATACCTGTACTAAAGGAAACAGAAAGATTGCACTGGACCCTGCTGCCAAGTGGGAACTATTGCTCAGCACTGCCATACGGGGAACCTTGGGATCTGTGCCTGGTTTACCAGGCAGGCAGGATCTTGGGAGTGCTCTGGAAAAAAGATGAGGAGCCCCAGAGCCTAAGTTGGAAGTGTGGTGGTTGATGGAACATATGGAAGCGGGACATCAGCACTGGGCAAGCCATGGTATGTCAAGGGAAAAGAAAGATGGGCTCAGCTGAAGTTTACTACCTATCATTTTATGTTTATATTGCCAGCCTAAATGCTTGCACTTATTTCTAATCTTGGATTTTGCAGCAGCCTGCTTGGTGGCTTTGCAGTGAAAAAGTGGGGATAAAGCTTCATTCACAGATGTCTGAGCGGTTAGTGAACTTGCAATGCTTTAATGGCATCTCGGGAGTTGGGCTCTATACACAATACACTGCTTGCTTTCCTCAAAATTGTTAACAGAAGCCAACTGAATGCATTCTTTACTAAGACACAGCAATGATTAGTTTACTAATGGTTACTTTTTTTCTCTACTGTACTCATGGAAGCTTAAAGGACATGAATGTCTTACAAAGGATCCAGAAGTGTGATGAGGAGCACCCACCACACCCTTCTGCATATTTTAATGCTGATACTTTGAGTTTACACAGGCTTCTGCCTGAACAGCTCAAGCTTAAGCTTAAGCTTAAGCAGACCCCCTCTGTAAGGTGAGGAAATACGACTGTAGCCACTGAACACATGGGCAGACAGAGGTACAGAAAGGCTACAAAACTTGTCCAAGATCACACACCAAGTCAGAGGCAGAGCTGAAATACACACACAACTCATGTTACTCATTATTTTGGTCTTTTAAATCCTCAACTACAGCACATGCTGAATTTCAAAGTGAGACAACAATTTGTAGTTTTATTCCTCTCCTCATGTTCCTTTGGCAGGGAATGGTCTGACAGTTATTGCATAAAGCATCAGAAAGCTTGTTGTCTATTTTCAGCTCTGCCAGTGACTCAGCCTGTGATCTTTTGCAAGTCACTTGTAAGTGGTCTCTGGTTTGAGGTATCCAACTTCTGAGAGGTGAAGTCTGACTTCCAGAAATGTTGATCACTCAATAACCCAACTAGAGTCAGTAAGAGCAGAGGGTACCCAGCATCTCTGAGAAACAAGCCTAAGATATCTCAAGTTGGGCCCAAACACTGTGGTACAATTTTGAAAGTTTGTTTTTCACCTCTATGCCACAGTTTTTCCTTACATAAAATAGAAGTAATGATAGGAGTAATGATACTGGCTCTCTGTAAATAAGAGCCCGTGGATCTGTTGAAATAAGCAGCACTATGAGTATTAGGCTTTTTTAACTTCCACCTTCCCACTTTTTCTTTGAAATTACGATGATTAACCTTTCTACTTACAGTGGCTCGGTATCGTTTCTTAAAACTTGTGCCCCACACCCATTTTCTGCCTGCACAGCCATTTGCTTACTCTGTACTATTGTATTTTGTTTAGTGATAAGACTCCAAATGTAAAGCTCACATACGTTAGGCTTCCTTTACCGCCTTCTGATAAAAATAAAGATGCATGTGCACGTGTGTGGACAGAGTTTTCTTAAAGTCACTTTGAAAAGAAACTGTCCGTTTCAAAACCAGGTTTTGGGAACATTTTGGTCCTCATCTTGGAAGATGTCCTGTGCAATTCACACCCAGCATTGAGACCCACAAAGGACAGTGGGACTCCACACAGGGGCAAGTATGGACAACCCAAATCAGCTTGGAGGACTGGCCTTGGTTCACAGCTAACTAGAATAGACATCTCTGCTTATGAATTAGGTGACACACACGCACCTCTGTCTGATCAGCCCATGGAAATTCTAGAGTGAACTGATCCCTCCCTTTTCTAGGCAGAAGCAAACAAGCCGTTACAAGGAAGCTCCTTAGGAGAGCAGGGAGGTAGGGAGTTAAAAGCTGGGCACTTGCTCAGAATCCATAAATAGTTAAGAAAATACATCTGGATACTTAATGGCACTTTGGAGCTTACTGGAAAAAAATGCCTACCTTCCTTATCTAAAAAAGGAACTGCCAAAGAACATAATTTGAACAAGAACAGCATCTACTCTGGACTCTTTCAAGAAACAGGTGGATATATTTCTTGCGGGGTTACTTGATCCCAGCTGACTTCCCGCCTATGGGGGGGGGGGGCGGGACTGGACCCAATGATTTCAGGAGGTCCCTTCCAGCTCCTAATGTCTATGAAATCTATGAAACCATCTGTATTGCTCATTGAAATAGTGATGGCAGAGGCTTTCGAGAACACAGGAATCACCTAAGATACCAAGAGGTGCTGTCAAGATTCTTCCCAATATGCCCATCAGCTAGTCAGGATTTTTCCAATTCTATTTTTCCTCTTCACAAGACAGTGTATTATCATAATAGTTATGCAAATCACACCATTAGCAGTAGGCAGTAGATGGAATGAAATCAACCACCACTGCCAAGTTATCAATTGTCCTCTGGCCTGACTCCTATTGTGTACAAACTTCTATTCAGTTAAGCTTCCTGAAAACTAAAGGCTTTAAAGCTTGTACTTTGATAGTCCTTCACCATTCAGGGGGGCTGAATAAAAACAGCAATACCATGCTCCAGAAGCTCTGCAGCATGCGATGGTCCCATACCTATTTTGCCATACAGAAACAGCCTGATTTTGCCCAAAGACAACATCTATCTTGGATGAAGCCAAGCCAAATGCTGCTGCTTGCCTTCTTTAAACATAGGAGTGGCTGTGGAGACTACAGGCCCTAGCATGCTATGAGCTAAACAGATGACCTTTTGGATTAAGATGCAATACTGAAGGCTGAGACCTGTAAATTCCAAGGGGCTGTGTAAAAATAAGCAGCTATGGGTCATGTGTGACTGCTATGGATGCGTTTAGCTTATTGATCAGCCTTGCTCAAATACAATCACTGCATGTCTACAGGATAAAATGAGTTAGTTTGTGATAACAGCATTTTATGTTATGGGATGTGAAATGTAATCATACACTTCTGGTTTTAACTTCTTGTATTAAAACTGCATCATTGCTAGAAGAAACATCACCTCTGAAACACGTGGATGGTACAAAGTACAGTACAGGGCATCCTTCACACTTTTGAAATCATTTAAAGAGATGTTAAATAACTTGTCCAAGTCACTACAGCCAGTCCTCGCCAAACCTGAGATTAGAATTCAGCAATCTCCTGCTGAGACTGTTAGGCCGTGCTGCCTTGGCTCAGAAATGACATCTTCTGGGGCAAATTGTGATCATACACTGAGATCCAACACACTATTTCAGATTTGTGTCTGAACAGTCCTTACAACTTCAGGATTTCAATCCAGTAGAGCCCTGGATAAGAAGATTATTAACTTTATGACCATGTACACCGTAACTGGGCCAACCAGAATGAAGGAACTTTTTGTATTCCAGCCAAATTTCTGCAATGAGACCTTTAAACTTCTCATTTCTGTGCGATCAGTTATCTAAAAGAATCATTGGAATAACTGTAAATGAGTTAAGGGATAGAGGGCAAGAGGCCATCAGGATAATCCACTGGTCCCCCCAAAGGCAATCTACACTATTACCACACCAATTTGGGAGCACTGTTGTGACATTTGTTTTATCAACATTATATTCATTCCTGTGTAAGGGTTTAACACACTCATACAGAACAAAATCAGCTTTAAGCACTTGATTTATATATGCAGGGATATCATAAAGCTTGAAGGCTGTGATTTTTCAATTAACACATTGCAAAAGGATAGGTTTACACCATAATCCATAGTGTAATTATATTAATCTTGGAGGTGGAAGGATTTCTATTGCATGGATGTTCCCCACTACAATTCCCCTTTACACGTCTGTCTGCGCTTAAAACAGAGCAAGGAACGCACAGATACTACAGTTACTTCAGGGAGTCATCTGAAACCAGTTTACCATTTTCTCCCAGCATAGAGCTGCCAGTCCCCACCCCCCAGCCATGAATAAAAGATAGGCATACCCAACACCAGCCACCCGAATCCCGACCTCGAGGCCCAAAACGACTCCCTTCCTAACCCTGCTCCTCCTCTGCACTTGGAGACCAGCACCCATGGCCTGCAAGGATCCCCGAGTTTTGGGGGGGGGAACATTACAGACGTGGCAAAAGAAACAACTGACTAGAGGCACAGCGCACGCTTGAATACCGACTGCACACCGCAGCCGCTTTCCCCTGGCTACAAGCAGCGAGGACTGAGCTGAGCACAGCACCGCAGCAGCCGACACAATCACAAGGCAATCCCTGTTTTTTTTAGCTCTGTGCACAAAGGTATTTTTAAGCCTCCCCAAAGGCATCTGGGGTTGCCTACAGCTGCGGCTGGGGGCTTCCACTGGGCTGTGCCAGTGTTCTGCTGGGAGCCAAGCTGCAGGATCTGCCTTGGGCATTAGGGTCGTGTTGCATCAGGCTCGTCTTATACACAGTTGAGATGGTTGCACGGGATGGTTTGCACAGGGGTTGGACCGGCCGGCCGCTCACAGTCGCACCGATGCTGTACTTGGGGTCAGGAAGAAATCCCTGCCCCTGAAAAACCAGACCCAAAAATAACCTCCCTCCCAAAATCAGACCCCAAAAATCACCCCCCCTCAAAAAATCAGACCCCCTCGAAAACCAACCCCGCTCCAGTCAGACCCCAAAATCAACCCCCTCCATAGTCAGACCCCCAAATCAACCCCCCCTCCAAAGTCAGACCCCAAACTCGACCCCGCTCCAAAATCAGATCCCCAAATCACCCCCTCTCTCACACACACAAAACCAGGTGCACGCGGGGGGGGGGGGGGG